AAATAGGACCAACAGTTTTCTTTAGGTGCCACATGATACCATCTTTCTTAATCACCTAGAAGAAATAATGTTTACTTGCTCAACTAAAAGGACTATGATTGAACGAACATACATAAAATTAAATAATTCGCCTGTGTTAGGGTTCTCCAGAGAAACAGAACCAATAGGGGGTGGGAGTGTGTGTGTATGCACATATAAAGAGATGCATCATAAGGAATTGGCTTATGCAGTTATGGAGGCCATCAAGACCAAAATGTGCAAGGTAGGCTGGAGACCAGGAGAGCTGAGGTTCAGTTGTAATTTGAAAACAGTCTCTTGTAGAACCAAGAAGAGCTGATGCTACAGATGAAGGCAGTCTGCTGGAGAATTCTGTCTTGCTTAGGGGAGGCTGGTCCTTTATTCTATTCAGGCCTTCAGCTGGGTGGAGGAAGCCCACCAACATTATGGAGGATAATCTGCTTTACTCAGTGTCTGCCAATTTAAATGTTAATCTCATCTAAAACACCTCGTAATGTTTGAACAGATATTTTGGTCATTCTGTGGCCCAGCCAAGTTGCCATAGAAAATTAGCTAGACACAGAGGCATGTGCCTGTAGTCCCAGCTACTTGGTAGGCTGAGGCAGGTGTGTCACTTGAGCCAAGAGTTCAAGACTAGCCTGGGCAATATAGGGAGACTGTCTCTTAAAAAAAAATTGACTATCACGTTCCCCATCTCAGAATTGCTTGTTTTTTACTTTGTTTTCCATGGTCAAATAAAATATAATTTCTATAATTTTTTTGTCATTAATGAGTTCAAGAACTCTGTAATCTTGTGACTTAGTTGTAATTCTGAATTCCTCTTATGCATACCCAAAATCCAGTGCTTTCTAGGTTGATGGAGAAAAGATTTAAAGCTGTATTATGCTGTCTACTTTATAAATGCAATGGGATTTTTGTAATGTTAACTATAACTCACACTTGAACTTTTTGGTTTGAATATTCAGTCAATATTCTAAGGTGCTGATGAGAATTAACTGTTTGTAGGTTAAGTGTAAAAAAA